AGAAATCCTAAAATGTAGTTCTCTGAACCAAGTTGAAATTTCAGACATTGTTAGGTTAATTTCACTAACCATTTCATCCACATCAATTCCCTCTAGGAATAGTGTAAAGTCATCTGCATATTCAATAATTTTGATCCGTCCTTGAAATTTATCATGTAGGCCCCTGGTGTATATACAGGGTGGCGCAAAATGAACGTTATGATTTGATTGTTTTATAACGTTTTTATTAAAATTTTTAATTTCTCTTTCGTTTTAGAATTTTGTAAAGCAGACTTGGAGAATTCAAAATGGAACAATTCAAAATGGAACAATACAGGATACAACAGTGAACAAAAATCATTAAATTTCACTTTACGAATGGAAACTCAATTATTGTTCTTACGCAGCGTGCATATCGTCGGTATTTTAATGTGCGCGTTGGACCATCCGTGTTAACAATAAATCGTCTGGTTGCAAATTTTCAGCAACAAGGTTCAGTAAGGAACCTCCGTGGTGCCGGAAGACCACGTAATGGAACCAGTGCCATAACTCCTGAAATTTTGCAAAAAGTTATGCAACATGTGTCGGAAAGAGCACGACTTTGCGAAGCAGAAAATGGCAGACACTTGCGAGATGTCATTTTTCACATTTGAGTCAAAAAAAAATCCATTCATAAACTGTGTTAAAAAAAAAATATGTTAACAATTCACTTAAAAATAAAAAAGTTATAAAGCATTCAAATCATAACGTTCATTTTGCGCCACCCTGTAATAAATAAAATTGTACTCAGTGGTGAAACCTGCGCTAGTCCAGTTGAGATCTCTTTCGGGCCCCTCAAGAGTCCCTCTCTGTCCCTAATAAATACTTTGCGATTGGTAAGAAATTCAAAAATCCATTTTTTTATAGTTCGAGAGATCTCCAAGTCTTCCATTGTTTTATAAAGGTGATAAATATTGGCATGGTCATAAGCTCCTTTAATGTCCAAGAATACCACCAATGACTTAAGTTTCCTCTGAAAATTCCTTTGTATGTTAAGGGTTAAATAAACTAGGCATTCCATACATCCTTTTCCCCTCCTAAAACCTATTTGTGATGCTGGAAATTTTTGATTTTTTTCAATTATCTATTCCATTCTATTTTTGATAATGCCTTCCATAAGTTTACCAGCACATGCTCCCAGTGCAATCGGCCTGTAATTGCTTGCTTCCTTCTCATCACCATTTTCTTTTAAAATTGGGCAAATAAGAGTGCTTTTCCATTGTTCTGAGCTTCTTCCGCTTCTCATGCTTCTATTGAACATTTCTACAAGAAAAGATTTCCCTATCCTATGTAGGTTTTTCAGCATAGAGTAGGTTATCTCTTCCATGCCTGGTGCCGAGACTGATTTTCCATTCAAAACAAAGTCAATTCAGTCAATGTGATTTCCTTTTGATCATCTCCCTCAGAGACTTCCAGAATAAAATTTGGGTCTATGTTAAATTGATTCAGATTGTCTAATATTTCTAGTGCGCAATTGACACAAGAAATTACCTTTCCATTACAGGTATGGTTCTCTTGATTCTTACAATTACAGGTACATTGACCTTCACGAGCCAACTTACCACATTTTTGACATTTTTCTTTTCCATGAAACTGTCTTTTATTGTGACCATAGTTTAGGCAATTGAAACATTGATTTACTGGCATTATGTAGTTTTCCACTCGAGTCTACAGTCCAAAGATGATGATTAATCGTGGAAGGAACATTCCCTTAAATGTAATCAAACAGGTCCCAGTTTTTACATATTCAACTTCGTTGTTGTCGTTCCTGATTTTTCGATTGAATCTTTTAACATCCAATATTTCTGATGAGCCTAGGAAATTTTTAATAATATATTCCGTATCAGCTTCTTTCAAAATTCCTCTCACTATACCTTTACACGTTACTAGATACTTTGGAATATAAACAATATTGTCTTTACTAAGTAATTCTTTATTCTGTAATAGATTATTGGCAGATTATGGGGTTTTAAACTCAATAATAATTTTATTCTTTCCTTTTTTTCATGGGGCCGCTTACATTTTCTAGTTTTAAATCATGTATAAATTTAGCAATTGTCATAAGCTGTAATTGACCCACATTTTTCCCGGATCGACCCTGTACTACCGAGGCCCTGATGGGCCCCCAGAGTTAGAGTTATCACACATGCTTACTTTTCAACCTAACCTATATTTGTTTCCCAGGAAAAAACAAGCAAATACTGGAAATTTTTACCTTAATTTTATTCCTGAAATCCTAATCAAAGGTTACACCACCTAAGAGAGGAATTGTTAGTAATTTTACTTGGGAAAATCGCTTTTTCGCTGGACTAAGCTGTCGTTGACGCGGAGGTCGAGCCAAAAAAAAGGAGCAAAAACTTCTTTAATTCCTTCTTAAATTTTGAAGCAGACTGAATATCCGTAATTGAATCCGGCAAATGATTGAAGATCTTCTTGCTCTCATAAATAAGGGATCGCTTAGTCAGTGTACTTGAAGGTATGGGAAGCGGAATATTGTTTAAGCCACGGGTCATATAATCACTCTCAGTAACTGTGAACTCGTGACGATATTTGTGAACTAAATCAGAGGTATCCAAGACAAAAAGGCAGGTCAAAGTGAGTATACCCTCAGGAACAAACAATGGTCTACACGAATTCCTAGCACCCGCACCACAAAAAATCCTTAGAGCTTTCTTTTGCAAAATACACCATACGTGCAACACCCTTTCCCAGTTCCCGTTTAGCCAAGTTCAATGCAAAACTACCTGATGACAATTTGCTGCACATATCTAGAATGTGCTCCTCAAAACGAAGCCAATAAGGAGACCCAAAAACTGTCACTCATCCCTATCCCAGATGTGACTATTATCATCAAGCCGCAAACCGTCAACACTGCACTTAAACCCCATAATACTAGTCTTACCCGCATTAAAAACCAATTTATTAGAGGCACACCACTCTCTAATAGTAGTCAGGGCCCGGATTCTGAACTCACGATTCGATAGTATCTTCTATCTGTTTTATATGGACGATACTGTCGAATCGTTGGTTCGGAATCCGAGCCCTGCTCAGATGCCATTAGGGTCCCTAGCACTTCCGTATCAGGATGATGCCAAAAAATAGTTGTATCATCGACAAACTGAATAATTTTTCCCTGAATTGGCAGAAAGTTCAGATCATTGATATATAATAGGAACAGTAAGGGGCCTAAAACAGTCCCTTGGGGCACTCCACAGTTGATAGCAAGAGAATCGGAGTAGCTACCAGAAAGCAAGACACGTTAACGTCGACCGGAAAGATAGGACCTGAACCAAGCCAAAGCAGTCCCCCTGACACCATAACACTTAAGTTTAGAAAGCAACAGCTCATGATCAACACAATCAAAGGCTTCGAACAGATCACAAAATACCGCTGCAGTTGATTTTCTGTCATTTAAGGACCAATAAACATTCTCCAGAAACCTAAAAATAGCATCATGCGTTACCCTGGAAGCTTGAAAAAATAGAGACAAAGTAGCATGTATTGTACCGAGAAAAATAAAAATTAAATTTTAAAGTGTATATATACCGATTCTAATTTATTATGGCGGCACCTGGGCGCGAATTTGAAAACGAATACCTGCAAATGTTTTCAGCTTTTAAATTTACAAAGGAAAGAATTTCTAAAAGCGTCGGACCCGATGCCAATAATGACGCAAAAATCGCGTATAAAAAGGGCATGTCCATGCAGTTAAAAGTAAGATAAAGTCAGTAAGTCAGTAAGAAAGTAAGAACGGTCAGTTAGAGCTTGAGTTGAAAGTCTAGTAGTAAGTCAGTTTCCAAAAATGTAGTAAACAGTAAATTTCGGTCTAACGTCTAACTCTAAACAAAGTTATGAAATAATATAGGAAATTGTTGAATCGTGAGAAAATTCTTAAATGGTGAAAACCAGTGAAGTTCCAACCGGCAAATGAATAATTTCGATGTAAACAAAACAGTTTGAGACCATGGTCAGATGGCAATTCGTAAAAGAGAGTTTTAATCGCGAACTTGAAGTAGTTATCAGAAATCAAGCATTAAATTCGGGATCGGTAGCCAGTTAAATTACGCGTCGCGAAGACAAGTAAAGACACACCTTGGAAGAGAATTGAACCTTGTATACTAAGGTAAATACTTTTGTGGACTTAACTTGTGAACCTAATTTGTGAACTTCAAATATTTGAACTATAACTTATCCATTGACTATTAGTAATAAGCATTCACTGCTCAAATTATTTTTATGCTAGTAAATCGTAAAAACTTTTGAAGTAGCGATTGAAAATAAATAAAGGGATTGATGAAATGTTTTTGAAATGAAAGACACTATCTTAAGAGATTAGCTCTCAAGTCTTGGAGTAAAGAATATTGTTCACCTCATTAGATAAATAAAGATATTTTAACCATTTTAAATGCAGAAGATTTGTGTACTCATTTCCACTCTTAGCAATTACGAACCCTATCACTGTAGCCACCCTAGTAAAAATCTGTAACAAATTGGAAACCGCTCGTCAACAATCAACATCTTTAACAGTGATACTAGGGCGGGCGCTACAGTAGCTTCAGGAGGGGCTGGGATGAAATGTTTCCCTCCTTGAGCGTTTTGGAAGTGGTTTATGCATAAATCATGTCTCATTGTATTTCTGAATGAGGTTTTTCCAGCTTGGTTGTCGTGTATGATTTCCTAATAATTGGTATTTTTGCTCCAGTTCAGCGGTGTCCAGTAGTTCGTAGATAAGTGAGACAACTTTTCCTACTAATCCAAACTTAACTTAATTTTAATTAAAACATTAACAAGAAAAGCACCACAAAACTAGCGTTACTACAACCCAGGCAACTATTTAAGTTTTTTCGCAAAACTATATCAGAATTGAATCGAACGAAGAGCACGTCACAAGGGTTTCAAAAGGCTGTGTCTGTTATTCCATAACAATATGGAAAACTTCAATAATTCCTCTGAAATAATAATATGGTTTATTTTTCTTGCAGAGAGTGGCTAGATTTGATGGACCAAGAAGAACTCCTCAACCGTAATAGTTCGATAATAGACGAAAGTACCGAAGATGTCAAAGAAACAAAAAATTGGGACAACAGTTTCGAAATGAGCTCTCATTTGCGCTGTGATATTAAATATAAGGATAAAGAAGTTATACAAAGAGGCCATTATTATGCCATTTATAATTACGTACGAGCCGAAAAAGAATTCGGATGCACTGAGACTATTACTTTAACAGCCCCTGCAGATTTCCGGTAATTATAATAGTTATTTATGTATCAAGGGAATTATGCAGGTGTTAATACCCCAGGGCAACGTTTGTGTCCCGAGGGCCTCCGGCCCGAGGGACACCAATTGCCCGTGGGTATTAACTCCTGATAATTCCCGTGGTACATAGATAATTTTATATCCTACTGAATTTACTGTATTCTGTCTATTTTTATAAAGGAATAAGCCATAAATCAAAATTTCTATTTTTTGTCAAAGTGTTACCTATTCAAGGTAAAAGCGGGAGTTATGGAAATCCTTAACTCCCTTGGGAGTTATGATATCCTTAACTCCCTTCCTTAACTCCCTTGGGAGTTATGAAAATCCTTAACTCCCTTGGGAGTTAAGACCCTGTTTATGATTATCGTAACCAAGGTATTATATGGTTTTAATAGTTCAGTAGGATATAAAATATTTTTTACTCTTAATTTTAATGAATTGACAATTTCTGCCTTCTAGATTTTTAGATAATGTTGTTCCATTAGTAGAAAAATGGATGGGACCTATTAGTATAGCATTGTACGCACCTGGACACGATTTTTACACAACCCTGCGCGCAATATCGTATTTAAGAAATTGCGGAACAGATCTCATAAGAAAATACGTTACGTTTCATATATTCTTCGATCAAGCCCATACTCCAGCAGCACGCGTAGGTTTTTTTAATTTTATACGGTAACTTCCTAATATTTCCACTATTTTTTAAAATTATTGTTGGGTAGTTGTTTAAAAAGAAGTCACTAATCAATAACAAAAATTGAAAGATTAATTTAAAAATTATTTATTTTAGAATGGGTCTAGTATATTGACATTATACACAGACCTTTACAACGATTGTACCGCACTGCCACCATGGGCCGAAACTAACGATACCGACATGTACAAATTCCAAAACAATCTCCTCTATCCGATCAACGTGGCCCGTAACATTGCCAAACTAGGTGCTCAAACTTATTTTGTATTTCCGAGCGATATTGAGTTGTATCCGACCAAAAACTTTATACCGCTATTTATGAAATTTTGGAAAGAAAATCCGGAGTTGTTTACACCGGAGTCTAGGAACGTGTTCGTATTGCCGATCTTCGAAATTCTGGCTAATGAAACCGTGCCAGAGAATAAGACTCAGTTGATGGCAATGTTGGCGACAAAAACGGCCCAGTTGTTTCATGAAGGCGTTTGTACACGCTGTCATAAAGTAAGTGGATTTAGTATACAATGGTGAAACACTTTGCAATAAATTATCAACTGAAACTTCCACATTTAAATAAATCCCAACATTTTTATCGGTCATTTTTTCGCTTCTATTGTTCGAGAAGTAAATATATGAGACTTTTATTATTACTATATTCATAACCTTGGACAAAAGGTCTCATGGAAAAAAAATCTATTCAACCAAGATTGGAATTGTTATAGTAGGTTACATAAAACTTAATAAATCTTATTCTTATACATTAAACTATAAACCTAAATCAAACATTGAAAGCTTAAATACTAAATTGAAGGCAATATGAAATATTTATTCTGAAATTAAATTTGTTTAATCGAAAATATTGTTTAAAACTTATAGCCTGAATCAGTATAGAAAATAAAACATTATCCATGCAATAGTTAGATAAATAAATTTTCCAGGTGATAGAAAGTGACAAATGGGTAGCTGCCCCTGAAACTGAAGGCCTTGGAGTATTTTCGGTGGGCAAAAGAATAGGTCCGCACATTGTTTGGGAACCGTTTTATGTTTGTACCCAAAAAGAACCTTTATGGGATGAAAGGATGACTTGGGAAGGTCAAAACAACAAAATGGTTCAAGTAAGTGTCTTTTCAAAAAATTTACCCTTCTAAATCTTATCATTTTATGATTCAAAATCAATTTTGGCTACTTGTTTTCAACACATTTTTAAACATTGTATTGTATTCAGAGTTGGTAAAACAACTTTTTGATTATTGATTATTCAAATAAATATGTGTAATTATTTTTCAGGCATTCACAATGTGTGTTTTAAACTACGATTTTCACGTCCTAGACAACGCGTTTCTCATTCACAAACCCGGAGTGAAGAAGAAAAAGGTCCAAATGGTTAGATATGGTCAGGTAGTGAAGGAATCGAGCGCACTGCTCCAAAAAATTGCCATAGAATTACAAGAATTATATGGTTACAATAAAAAATGCGGTACCAAATATATTTTTCAAAGACCGAAACCGAAGCCTAAAGTTCCAGTGATACTACCCAAAACGTGAATAAAATTGAACCCACTCACCTAAATAGGATCAAGTTTGTAGTTTCAACATCACTATAGTTCTTTATTTATTATCATTGCTGTAGTAAAGATTAGGATTTTTTAAATTTTATTGATAAGAGTATAATATTTTTGTGAATAATTCTTGAAGATATTACCTACGTCAATTTACCATGTAACTACCCAAACTGGGCTGGCACCAGAACTCATATTATATTTCATGTTTCAAAATATTCTTTAGTTTTTTAAAAAAATTCAGATTATTCTGCTTATAAGTAGGTATGTTGTTTTGTTATTTATTTTTTAATAAATATATTTATTGTATGTTATTTGTCCGACAGACTATAAATTCCAATGCTCTATATTTGATTCGAGGTAATAACCACAATAATCTTGGTGAGATAATTTTTTACAGGAGGAGAAAAGAACAATACGCTTCTAGATAGTGCGATCAAGCTTCTAGGATAAATTATTGTTCCCAGCATTCAGATTAAAAAAAGGAAATAAAAATGCGTAGCTTTCGACAAACTGTGTTGAAGTTTATGTAGAAAATAGTTTTTTTTTTCATGCTCAGAAACCCTCTGTCATAGTATTATTTTGAATAAACTCAGGACCTCTATTTGTTCTACCTACTTGTAGTATGGTTTTATTCTTCTTCCTGTTCCTATTTTTTCAAATGTTGAGCTGAAGCATGCGCTCATACGTCGATTGAGGATTACTATTACTATCTAGGCGATATGGGCTGAGATGAGACCTATAAGCACATTTTTGCACGGTTACTTATCAAGTATTGATTACTGTCACTTTTTTTTACATTGGTCCGCTCACAAAAGACTACCTAAGCGGTACCATGAGAGATCCAGCACACTCCAGCCTTTGATTTCAACAGCAACGTTTAGTCTTTATTAAGTTATCTGTCACTGTTTGTTCTATATGTACAATAAGATAAATAGATGTTAACAAATATAGTTGTTAAGCCATAAAACCGCAGTTAAAACAACCAGGTGAGGATACCTACATCATAGACCCCATTGACATCAGAGACACAGCAAGGGCGGACTCTCTCGAAGGTAGTAAGTTCTGACTCTCCTAAATCAATAAACTTTCAGAATGCATGTTCTAATTTCTGTAGCAGAGATGTTTATGAAGAAACTTGGATACAGTAATGAAATCAAGAGCTTGGAGAGGCAATTGGGGGGATACTGCAAGTTCTGGCAATATTATAATGCTTCCACTGACAAAAACATTATGCACCTAATTCTAATATACCTACTACTACAGAAGATCACCTCCCAGCTCCCAGGCAGATTAAAATTGAAAAAAAAAGACCATATTATGCTTGAATGTGTTTTATTTGTAAAGGTTAGAGCAACACAGATTAAACCCTCCTACTTTTTCAATTCCTTACAGCCTTTAATATTGCTGCTAAATAACTAAAATTGTTGCATTCTATCTTGGGATCCTATGAAAAAGTAGTTACTTCTACACAGAATAAAAAAAGTTCGACGCAGAGTACATCACGTCACTTTAACAAACTGTGAAAAAAAGTTCCAATAAAGTGTACAATATAATATCTGAAACTAACATACAGCTTTGAGTAGATTTATATTATCAACCCTCAAAAATGAAGGAAAGGGTAATTCCAAAATACGAGTAGTAAACGTGTAAGCAAATATATAATTGACGATTTTCTCGGTTCCATAAAAACCAATCTTGATTGTAGATTGCTTTGGTTAATTCCTCATTCTAGAAAATAAGGAAATGTAGTGAGTTGGTATATTCAAAAAATGATATTATTATTATATTATATATAGGATGTTTGGCGGAGGGTTAGCCAAACTTGGTGGGCGTATAGATATACCCATTTCGAAGATATTTTCTTAATACACTAATGCCCTTAAGGTCCCCATTTGTTTTATATCATTGCTTTTGTATTATTCTCAAGAATTTTCAAAAATGGACCTTTAAACTTCTGTAACCTTTTAACTTTCTATTATTATCAAGGATACCCTACAGACCAAAAACACACGCAACAAACGTTTTCATAAATATTAAAAAAAAAGTTACAGAAGTTAAAAGGTTCATTTTTGAAAATTCTTGAGAACAAATGATGCAAAAAAATGGAACTTGAGGCCACAATTGTATTTATAAAATATCTTCGAAATGGCCCTATCTATACGCCCACCAAGTCTGGCTAACCCTTCGCCAAACACCTTGTATATTATATTAGAGTCATAATATTTATTCCTTACCGTATATTGATGTAACTGAAGTTGCACAGTCGGGAAAATAGCAATATAGAGAAAAACAACTAATTCCAGATCTTTGTATTTCCATGTAAATGCAACCTTGAAAGTACGGATAGACAATAAAAGCGATATTACAGTGATTTCCTTGAAGCTATAGGTACTTAAAATATGTATTTTTTGACCAATAAGAGCTAATTTATTGGTTATATATTTTGATAGATTGGAAAACTATGAACATACTTATATTGAGTTTTGTGCGAAATAAACGTTAAATAACTTTTCAACATCATGAAGCTTTCAGCGTAGGCTATTATTTCAAAAAGTCATATGACGATTTATTGTTATTTCTCAAAAGTTATCGTGAGCATGAGTCTATGGTCTAATTGACAAATAGAATCACTAAATTACCCCAGATGGTTCAATCAAAAACTAAACTATAGTCTCAATACCCACAAACCCTAGATAAAAGAATGTCATATTCGCATATTTGCGAGAAACACTTCACTATGAAGAAATTTAATAATGGAAAAGTAGTTAATGAACATGATCACTTTACAAATAAATCTAGAGAATCTTCGCATTCTATCTGCAATTTACAATTTCTTAAATAAATCATCGTTCCTCTAAGCTTTCACGATCTCTGAGGCTACGATAGTTATTGCATGATTGGAGAAATAAGTGAAATAGGTGTCAGTTTGTTGTTTGCTGCCTATTAATAAGGAGAAATAAATTTCGTTTACGATTCACGATTCTGGTGTTACCTCTTATTAAAATTCGTTTAATGATTCATTTAGATTTCTCGGTGCATCCCTCTATTAGATTCCTGCTTTTTGAAAATTTTTAAATAATAATTCAAAAGTTTCAGCAACACCAAAAAGAGTACGATTAGATACATTTACAATGTAAATGAATTAGATGAACTGAATTGCCCTGAAAAGATAGGTTTTTATAATCAATTAAATGGTTCACAACAGATATTTTACTTAAACTTTAATCTAGCAGCTAGGACACTCTGCCACAGTTTGCCGTAAAAACAAATCCGCTTAATCTCAAAAGACATTGGTTTGCGAGACTCACTCAGAGAAATCGAGTGCAGAATATAATGTTTCATGTGGGATGAATGAGCATGTTTTCAGGGGATTTGCCGATTCTTGGTGCGAAATTCGCGAAGCAGATGCCAAGAAAGCAAGCATGACAAGGTTGGTCAGCAATGTTTATCTTAATGGATATGGGGGTGCAAATTGCAAGGTGATGAGTAGGGCCAAAACATTTCCAAAAGTAGATTTGTTTGTTGTCTGAGTCGATATTTTCATAGTAGCAGACAACATGCCAACTATTCCAGTTAAAATTGGTCGCTCAGTACTGAATAAAAACAAGGCAGTGACTCTTATTCAGGAAGAATATCTTAGTGTTTCCCAATGACATGGCAGAGCTACCAAATGTCGATAAACTTCCATCGAAAAAATCGTTTTGAGAGGAGAGGCTTTCACCAACATACTTGCAGGTCACATTGGCCTAGTAAGCTTTATATCTAGAAATGACCTCGAATCTGAAGTTTTTATAGAAATGCGTAGATGCTTGCCGCCTCATTAGGAATATATTCTGCCTAGGTGTTATTCTTCGTCAGCCTAAGATTCCAGTGCTGAACTTGTCCAGAGAACAATTAGTTTTAAGAAGGACCAAGTGGTAGCAAGAGGCAGTCCTGAAGCAGAAATCGTAAGTACTTGTCACAAAATTGATATTGCAAACCTGTCAAAATATTCTTTAGATGATATAAAAATCGCGTTCCAGAAAATATGTCTCAAACAGTTCTTAAAAATGTATTATTACTTTTAAATAAATATCGAAATGTTTTTGCGGAAAATATGGATGAGTTAGGTGAAATTAAACATGCAGAAACGGAAATTCGTTTACCGGATGATAAACCGGTAACTTATAGACCTTATAGACTGTCTATTTACATTTGAAAGGGAAAATGTTCGAAAATTAGTTTAAAGAATTGACGTAAGCTGGTACAGTTCAGGAATCAAATTCACCCTATTCGAGTCCTATTATTCTAGTCAAAAAGAAAGATATCGAAGCTCGAATGTGCGTCGACTATCGCATCCTGAAATCGAAAACTTTAAAAGATTGCTATCCGCTCCGCGAGTCGACGATCATTTGGAAGTTTTGAAAGGATGTAATTTCTATCACCAGATACCAATGGAAAGGGAATCCAGAGAGAAAACCGCTATTGTAACTCCAGATGGCCACTACGAGTACCTTAGGATACCATTTGGGTTGGTCAACGCACCTGCCAAAGAACAATCAACTATGTATTGGGCTCTATGAGGTCCTCTACGGCGTTGGCGTACATGGACGATATTTTGGTGCCTTCTTCTACCGTGGCATCTGAATTAATAGCTCTGGGAGAGGTTTTTCAAGCATTCCGAAATGTTTGTATTACTTTGTGTTTATCCAAATGTAATTTCTTTCAAAACCAAATTGATTACTTAGGACACGAGATCAGTGCTGAGGGATACGTCCTGGTTCTTCCAAAATTGTTGCTGTGGAGAAGTTCCCTGTATCCAAGAACGTTCATCAAGTACGTCAGTTTGTGGATTTATGTAGTTTTTTTCGGAAATACGTCAGAAGTTTTGCGCCAATTGCTCGACCTTTGATGTCTCTCATCAAGAAGGATGTAATGTTTAGTTTGGGTGCAGCGGAAAGTAGTGCTTTTGAAAAATTTAGAGTAATTTTGATCAAAAGACCTATACTTGCTACCTATGATCCCAAGTTAACAACCAAAGTTCACATGGACGCATCCAAAGTTGGACTAGGCGGAATTCTCTTTTAACGACAGACCGATTCCAACTTAAAGCTAGTATTGTAGTTTAGCCGCCAGACAACAAAGGATGAAGAAAAATATCAGTCCTATGAGCTAGAGACGCTAGCGGTAGCCAGCTCGTTGCAACGGCTTAGGGTCTATTTTCTTGGGTTGGACTGTAGTGCTTCAAGAACGGCAATGCAGAAACGTAACCTTATTCCTAGAATTACTAGAGGGTGACTAATAACTCAAGAATTTTATGGTAGAGTACCGTCAGGGTTCGAAAATGGCACATGTCGATGCTCTTAGTAGAAATCCTATTGATCAAAATTGGTGTCGCCAAGAAATTCAAGAAGCAGGCGTTTTGCAAGTTGATATCACACAGAATGATTGGGTTATGTCGGTGCAAATTAAAGATAATTAATGCAAGAAAATAATGGAAATTCTGTCCGAAACTCCAAAGACCAACGAAGAGAAGCAAGTCCACAAAGATTATTTGCTGAAGGACAACAAATTATATAGGCAAACCCACAATGGTCCAAAATGGTATGTACCAAAAACAGGACGACGAGTGGTT